AAAAATTTCGAATTGATAAATTATAGTTTGATTCTTGAAAGTACCTGATTGCTTGGGCCCCTGTGAATACAAGAGAGAGGAGAATTTATCAGCTTCTTCAAAAAACTATCAAAATCGATGAGTTTATCTACAATATAATAGCACCACCATCGAAGATAGCACTTCGAAACTAAGAATGAAGGAGAGAAGGTGGATGGTGTAAGTTTGAGTGCTTTATCAGGGCGAAGGATGAACTTAAGGACTTCTTCATAATTCCCTTCTTCGACACAAATATCTGCATCAATGCTTTCCTTACGGCGAAGAGGAAGAGGCTTCATTTGGCAAAGCCCAAATTGTCGAGCGAATAATTGGGGTTGGTAAGGGTAAAGCCTGACATCTTTCTGCCTCATACCTGAGATGATGACATCCCAGGACAAGAATCCGAACCAAATATCAGTCGACGAAGGACTTATGTTTCCGACTTGATTATTTTGACGAAGCCAGGTCGACCCTATTAAGTTCGATCGAATAAAAGGAGCTAAGTCTTCAGTGAACTCAGTGAAGCTAAGAAAGGCACGAACATATTTCTCAAAATTATCTACTAGACGCTTGCGAGGGGTAAGGGTTGTCAGACGAGCACCTTCGAGTTCACATATTGGAACTGCAGTCGAAGGCAAACTAAGTTTCTTCTCGAGTATCGCGTTAAGCCACAGTTGAAGTAGCCATAATGGACCGGAGAGGTTTCGAGGCCCCGATTCTCGAAAAAGACTCTCAGAAGCTTCATCAAGACAAGTGTATAGGGAGGCCAAAAGGAGTTTGCTTAAACATATTTTCTTTTTCGAATGAAGAGCTTGGGCTAAAATATAATAGTACTTTGGGACTTGGAGTGAAGGAGTACAAAAGACACATGCTGACAACCAATACAGCAGAAAAGCGATGTGCTCCGAGGGTGAAACAAGCGTACCAAGTTGCCCCATATGCGCAGTGATGAAAGACAAATATGTCTTTTTGTCCCAAGAGATCGAAACATCCTTGATTGAAATTTCTTCCTCAAATGAGTCAGGATGGAATCTCTCTCCAAGAGGCATCAGTCCCGTTATAGCAGCAATGTCGAGCAAAGTAGGGCAAACAAAACCACAAGGGAACTCGAAGGCTCGAGTTTCTCTATTCCAAAAGAAAATAGCGGAAATGAGCATTTGGGGGTCGAAAAGGTGAAGATCGAACTTAGCTAGTTGGATGAACTCAAGAATACCAGTATCTTTTCATTCAGAGTGCATGGAAGCTTCCACACGGGCTAGCCAAGATGAATGTCTATCTTTAACATGAGGGAAGGCTCTAAAAATTTTAGTGGTGTCTCCAAAAAGGGTTAAGTCTATCTCAGGAGAATAGATGAAAGGTAAGGTAGAAGGATCTTCAGGCAAAAGAGTGTTACCAAACCTCTTTGTATTCTGACCAGCGAAAGGACCAAGAAAAGCGTGAATAGAACCACTTTCTAAAGAGAAAGGGAGAAGTACCTAGGATTGAAAAATCTTCAAACTTGCCTCTTCCATGCCGGGAATTGGAACAAAAGTGTCATCGCCCTCTTTGACTTTGCAGACTTGGGTGGAAGTCGCAGTGGCCATGGTGGTTACGGGTATAGTAGTCACCACAGTAGAAGGCGTCATAGTAGTCAAGATGGGAGATGAAGTAGAAACACCAGTGGGAGACGCTGTGGAAGCCACGGCAGCAGAGGTGGGAGCAGCTGAAGAGGCCATCGTAACTAGAGAAACTAGGAGGAACAGGGTCGCCAGAAATCAAGAATCAAGCAATGGAGGGACAGAAAAACACTAACTTGGGCAAGAAGGAAGCAAAAGAGTAAAATGGTGAAAATAGTTTCACTCTAGGGTAAAAAACAAATTTTTAACACATCATTGGGCCTGGAGTGGAATGGGCTTCTAAATTAATTCAAATTTTAATTGAAAGTTTAAAAACAGCCGCCAAAAGATTTTGAGAACAGTGAAAATGGAAACACACGTCGTATTTGCCATCATTGTCGCAACAAACGGTCATATGAGTTAATTACAAATCAAAAAGTACAGAGCAGAATAGGGTTTCATCGAAAGATGTAGACTCCGATTAAGTAATTGGAGTAAAGCTCGATAGGAATTCGAATCTCTCTGGCCAGCATGCACATCAAGATCGAATTCCTAGGGGGGCATTTGTTAGGTCTACTCGAAAATCCTAAGAATCGAACAGGTGTTACTCGAGAGAATATTAAAATGAACACCTGCTGGGAACGTACAAAGGGCCTGTTTGAGTGTTTTTCGAGTCACGATCGAAAAGTTGAAGTCATACATATTGATCAACATCTGCCAACAATAGCTAATTCGAATTCGAAGACAATTATTGGTTGAGAAGTTAATATACACGAGGAGCGGTTGTGAGAAGTTACACTTTAGAAGCCACATAATGAGCATAGTGGGCAGCGGTTATCTCATAGTGGTCTACGTGCAGGAGCATCCGAGTGAGTTAACCGCCATTATTTCACTCTATAAATTCCAGAAACCTGCATTGTTACAGGGTCGGAAAACTCATACTAAAATTATACTCTGAAGTACTCTCTGCCTGCGCACATGGCTTTCGTACACGGAATTATTTTTGGGTATGATTTTTTCTCGGTCATTTTCCTGTTTTCATCTTAGGAGTAGATTTAGTGTAGTTTCTTGTCCTTCTTGTAAGCACGTAGTGGAATTGTATACCTGAACAATATGCTTCAACCTGTTCTGTAACTTGATCATTATATAAAATTGAACCATGATTTGTATTGCTAATATCATTATTGTTCATTCTGTTCATCTAAGTGTTTACGTGCATGGAAATAATTATCCTATTAATCATTGATGAATGCTTAGAGACCAGTAATTATTGATCATTCTATTTCATTCCTTCATTGTAATCCGAGAACATATGCCTAAATTGAAACACTTGCTGTGCTATTCTAAATAAAAAGAATCTATTAATAATTTCCACTGTAAACAATAGGGTACCAATGAAGACGACAGGGAATGGATAAAATGAATAATTCTTCATATTTGAATTCATGATGTTCTGCCATTTTCAGTACATTGCACACCGGCAAAGATAACATGAAGATATTAAGATGCCTTTTTTAATTATCTATAGTTACAAAAAAATTATGCGATATAACATATCAGAATCAACGAATCAGGGAAATTTCCTAATATAATGCTTGATTATGAAACTGAAACTACATTAACATCCTCATGTCAGAGAAGGGAACATGGTTCCTTCCAAAGCAGATGCCACGCATAATGCTTCAACACAATCTTTTGACTAATAATACTAGTGGATTTAAATTGTGTCCTTAAAATGATCGCCAATTACGCAAGATATTTGTTATTTGGCACCACAGATGAATTTATTCTTTGAGTACCAAATCATCTCCTCTAACTGTGTTCTTAATCAGGAAATTTGGAGTATAAAGAGATATATGATAAAGTTTTTTACCCATGCGAATCACACTTAATATTCGATCCTCGAATGATTAATTAATTATAATTAATAACGCCCATTAGAATGTTGAAGTCCAACCCTACACTATATAGGTATATTAAAATGCGAACAAATGATTTCCTTCATTTCTTTTAACAAACTTTCAGAACATATTTTATATTTGAATATTTTATCATGGTTTTATTTTTGGTCATTTTCTTAAAAAAGTTTTCTCTTAAGTTATAGATACTTGCACTGTCAAAAAAAACTTTATTCACCACCTCTTTTTGTTAAATGTTTATCTGAAACTTAGAGTCGATCATTTGATCGATCATTGACTCTGATACTATATAAACTTTTATACCGAAAAATATTTCAAACAATAGGTAATGAGTAAGTCATAAGTGAGTTTAACATCATAACATAATTTAAAGCTTTAAGGTATTAGATATATGCATTTTTCTCACTTATATACTACTCAACATATCAAATTCTAAATAATATAAAATTTTATTTCACAATTAAACTTCAATAGAAACTTATTGTATTCTAGCAAAATATTTATTTATTTTATGGTCCTAGAAAAAAGGAGATGGTATCAATTTTGATACGTTTATTAGAAAAAGAAGCCACTTTGCGAAAACATATCTTAGCAACGGTGATTATTTATTAAGTTCTGTGTGGCATATATTCAAAGTGTAGCGAAAAACACTGGTAGCAGAGAGTCCACGCCTTGATAGTCACTTTCCCTTGATAGTCACTTTCCGGTAGTAGGCGATAATTTTATTTTATTTTATTTTTTAATAAAGAAACTCTTTGAAGGCATTAATTGATAGAAAATGTATCACACGAGTTGGAACAATACAATAATATAATAATTTTATTTTAAAAGTTAAAAAAAATACAAGGATGACTTTGTTTTTTTCATTCTTAAATTATTAATTTCAAATAAAAACCCTAACCAGAAGATGTCAAGTATAATGTGCCGCATTAATTTAACTTTATTGGGATTCCATTTCTAAACCCACCAAACGAAACCAATTAGTACTGATGTTAGCCCTGGAAAGTTTCAGAATAATTCTTTTCTTCTGAAAATAATTATTTTCTAATAACAAAACAGTTTACTCTAAAATGGTGAGTTTTATTACTAAAGTAATGCTCTCAACAGACCATCCATTTATATAAACTGAAACAAAATTTTCTTTCAACAACATTTTTAAAATATTAAACACTATCAAATATTTTTAATTACTTAAAAAGACAAATATTAAATAACTTTTTACTGGTCAAAAAATAATAAATAACTTCTGCATTTGTAATAATATAATGAACATATTTTCTATCAAAACTTTAACTTTTGTTGTTTTAATGAATTCATTAAGAATACTAATTAATATTTCTTAATTCATTACCTTGTGTATCTGGTAATCAAGTGCACAATGAATCAAGCAAAGTAAACCATAATTGAAATTTGAAACATGTTTTTCTCAACATTAGCAAAATCGTAGATAATAATTCAGAAGAAGATATGAAACATTAAAAGTAGAGTTGCTTAATCACTACTACTAATCAACTATGCTCGAAGAGCAAAGTCCAAAATCCGAATGCTTACATTAAGAATGAGTATTCTCCAAAGCGAGGACTGCTAAATACAAATTGTTAAAACTGCGACATATATATTCAGTTTGAGTTTTGTTTGTTAAAGGCTAGAGATCATACATATATCTGCCCACAAAAAAAGAAGAAAAAAAAAGGGTTGAGAAAAGTTGTTACATATTTAATTGGAGCAACAAGGTGTTCTCTTCTCGGCACTAGCTGACATATTAGAGACATTAATGGTAGTCCCTTGAGGAAGGGTAGTGGTAGTGGAAGCTGCCTCCTGAGCAGCGAGTGCCTTTTTACTTACGATTTGGTATATATCAAACAAAATGGTTTGGAAAGCTTTCTCGACATTGAAGGCCTCCAATGCCGAAGTCTCTAGGAAAGAGAGAGCCTCCTTCTCAGCCAAAGTTTGAGCATCTTCGGTAGCAATTGCTCTAAGATGGTTTAGGTCAGACTTGTTTCCAGCCATCATGATAACAATGTTGGAGTCCGCGTGGTCCCTCAGCTCACGGAGCCACCTCTGCACATTGTCGAATGTTTGCCTCTTGGTTATGTCGTACACCAACAAGGCACCTACTGCTCCTCTGTAGTATGCACTTGTGATTGCTCGGTACCTCTCTTGACCTGCTGTGTCCCATATTTGTGCCTTCACAGTCTTCCCCTCCACCTATATATATATATATATATTTATGTCAAACACAAAAAAGTATAAAATATTGTTATTATGGCTAGGCAAGAGTCATCACTCATCACCATGAAAATGTTGATGAGATCAAAACCTGTAATGTTCTTGTTGCGAATTCAACCCCAATGGTAGACTTAGACTCCAAGCAGAACTCATTTCTTGTAAACCTGGAGAGTATATTGGATTTTCCAACACCAGAGTCCCCAATGAGTACGATCTTGAAGAGATAGTCATATTCATGGTCCACTTTGTATGCCATGATTATTCCAACACCCGACACCACCCGAGACCTGCCCCATTGGAAAATTGATTAATTCCAAAAATCAACTATACACGTGCATGCATGCATGCATGTGAATGATAACTTATAACAGAAGATCGAGATGCAGGGTACGTATATATACTAACCATAAAAAGATGGTGAAAGCAAAGTGGGGTGACGATGATGGATGGATGCAGGGATTGAAAGTTGAAAGTTGAAAGTTGAAAGTTGAAAGAAAGAAAGAAAAAGAGAGAGAAGAAAATGCATTTTGAAAGGCCAACAACGAATTGGCACAAACAGAATAAACGGACGACAAGCCACTTTGAACGGCCATTCGTGTGGAATACATTACACGAACCTCGGCCACTGTTACTTTATTTTCATTTCCTTTTTTTGATCATGTGCACATTAAAAACTTAGAACACTCATCTTCATTCTTCTAATCATTCTCTCTATCTCTCTTCTTCTCTTACACACCAATCACTTTTTATTTTTTATTTTTTTATATTATAATTTCATTATACACATGTTCACTAATCATTTTTCTAAATCAGTATGTTGCATCATCTATTGTCATATTGTGTTAAGAGACCTTAACTATATGTAACCATAATTATTTGACTTTATTAACATATTAGAATTCAAGGTGAAAAAAAAACTGTAGACTTAGGTCAAAATTAACTACAAAAATGAGAGCAATCGAAAATAACCTCAAATTAAAGACTCGTTTCTTTGTGCTTTTGTTGTCTTTAGAGGGAAGTTTTCGTCTTCTTCTTCTTCTTTTTTTATTTATATTTATTTTTATCCCATACCATGTCCATGTAAATTAATTTATTTTTCTTTTGTGTGAGAATTCATAGGATGGAATTAATTTTTATATCCTTATATTATAAACTTAAGTATGAAATGTTTTCAATAAAATATAGAGTTTATGTACCGTTAGTATAAATATTTTTACACTATTAATTAATTATAAATAATCTTAGATTTTAAAGTAATTATTATAAAACTTAACGATCTTAACATACATATATGGTCATTTATAATATGATGATTTATAATTGGATGATTATGAAAAAAAACATTTATATCATCTATTAATTCTAATTAAATTCTAAATTATATAATTCTTCTTACATTTTTAATAAATATTATTACTTTAATATTGTCAACTTGAATTTAAAAATTTAAATTTCAACACGTAATAAAAATTGGCTAAACTTAGATTCTTTTGTATGATTGAGGGTTATTGAAAAAATAATTTAAATTTTAAAATTTAAATTTTTAAGATATTATATATATATATATATATATATATATTATTTGTTTTTAAAGGGGGTCAATGTTAAATGGGAGAAGCAATAATATGAAGTAGTGTTTGACAAATTTTGTCATAAAAATTGTATTAAGAGAGAGAATTTTTAAGTTTTATCGGAAAATTTTCATATACATATATTATATATTTTGAAATAGTAAACATATGAGAAATCAAATCCGTAAAATAATTTTTTATGTTATTTTTAATGTATTTTTCATTATTATTTTGCGTAAAAGGAGAAAAAAAATCTTGACAAGGGTTGACCTATAATGGTCGAAAATTGGTGTCTTTCTCTGTTCAACATGTTTCTCTCATCATATACCGAAATTTTTTACTTCATATATATTTACTTTTAGAGGAGTTAAACATAGGAATGATAATTAAAATAATTTATTTTTATGATTTTCAACTCAATTTCAAAGAAATAAAAATTAAATTATTATAAATGCATATTAAATGAGGTTAATTACAACAAAAAATTGATTTAATTATTCCAAAATAATAAATAATATACAATTCTTTAAAGAATAAATAGTTATATTAATTTAATCATACTATATAAATTAATAAAAAAATTGAAGACAAAATTACAATTTTATCTTTCTTATTTTAACATATCTCTCCCACACCGTTAAAGATATTAATTCAACTCTTTCAATCCTTCCGATCCACACCAAATCTATTTTTAATAGAGATATTAGGGGAAATTAATAAAAAAAAAATTCTTCTAGAGTTTTTAAAATATAAAATAAAATGAAACAAACTTATTTTCAAAACAAATATATTTGGAAATAATTGTTTTATTAGTGAAAAGAGTACATTTGACACTATTTTTTTGGGTTAAAAGAGCCATTTACTTTTTTAATGAAAAGCTCAATTGTATAATTATTTTATTTTGTATGTGTTTAGGTGTTTAATTAAGCTTACATGAGCCTTCTTGAATGATTGGGTTGTATTTTGTAAATGGGTCATGAAAAGGAATAAAACAGGACCAAAAGCTGGGCCTAGCCCAAAAGTTTTGGGGTTAGATGGCTGGGGCGGGTTTTGTTTCCTTCGCCCATGTAAAAGGTTGGACCAGTTTGCATTTAAAAGATATATAAGTTTATATTTTTTTAAGTTATTTTCATCTTTTATTAAGTTTTATTGGATTTGGATAAATTCGCAGAAACTTGCCATTTTTTTTTTTACAATTTTAATTTTCTTGTATATTTAAAAGAATGCAATGTAGCCTTTTAAATTTTAAAAATAATATAACGTGATCCTTTTTATCCAATTAAAAATTGAGATTAACGATATTAACATTTTATACATATGACACAATAAATAATAATAATAATAATAATATATATTGACATATGGAAAAAGAGTACATTATTTTTTTTAATTGGATAAAATGACTACATTGTATCATTTTTCTAAATTAAGAAATTAAATTGAATAATAAACTATCAAATTTAAACTAATTAAATAAAAAAGGCTTAGCATTTTAAATTAGGTATGCAAGCGAAGTAACATTACTTTTCGTCACAATCCTTACTGTGTGACTCATTTCATATATTGTTAAATTTTTATATAAATAAATATTTGTATTTAAATTTAATTTTGATATATTGTCAGTGGAAATACGTTTATAATGTCAACTCATAAAAATCGCTTTAGAATTAATTTAAAAATAAATTAAATTAAATTTTAAAATAATTATTATAAAAATAATAATATAATTAAGTGATAATGTAAAATTTTTCATGGTAGATGTTTTGTAATTAAGTTATTTGTATATTTAGAAAATATGAAAATATTTTAATTAATAATTATTAGTTAAATTATACATGAACTTTTGATAAAATATTTAGGATGTGTTTGAATATCCATCAACATACTTTTTTTTTCATTAAAATGAAAAAATATGAGTGTGAATAAATTGAATTGAACGTCTGTTAACTATTCTAAACGGTAAAACAAAGATACACTTAATAGTTTAGATTTTTTTTAATATATTTATCATTATTTGATATTCTAGTTAATATGTATTGTCTCTTAAAAATACTTAGTAGTTGGGTCCCTTTGCTTAGCTGAATTTGTTGCTTTCTCAACATTAACCAAAGCAACAGTCCTTTTCCACTTTCCCCACTATCTCCCTTTTAGCACGATTCACAAAGATTTTTTTCCCCACCATTTCAATTATTTTCAATGAAAAAAACTGTTTAAATACAAAATGGTTGTTTAAGACTAAGTCTAAATTTTAACTATATTTTTCTTCTACAACTGATTTATTACATAAAACTAATATTCTGTTATATTCAAGCAAAATTAAATTTGTCTAAATAACAATTTATTCTAATTATAATCAATTATATATATACATAATCAATTATTGAAATAATATAATTTTCGTATCTATTCATTTTCGATAATTAATGCATACCATATGTATTTCTCTTATAACACTTTCATTGATTCTATTATTTTATTTTCTTTACGAAAGACTTGAAAAACGGTCACTAACACATACCAATGACTAGAAATTTTTCGGACGCGCTTATTTCGGCGACTTTGACGTAAGTAATATCAAAGTCTTTTAACATAATTACTACGAGTATTTTAAGTTCTAACGCAAACGAATCTACAATAATTATATAGACTTAAAAAAATATGTATAAAAGCGATTTCCATTGTCATGTATATATTATTACAAATGTCTTTTTTTTACGAGAAGTTTTTAGAATTTTTTTAATTTTTATTTAATTTTTTATTTATCATAATTGTACCTGTCTAAGGGCACACTCCTTTTCTTCTGGGTGAAAGGGGACCGAATAAGAGCTCCAACGATATCTCCAAGGGATGGGGGAGGTACCTGCAAAGGGTACTCCAACGCTCAAGTCAGTATATGCACGAATATATAGGGTAAAAATCAACAGTCATACCTCGTTATGTGTGACCTATTTATAGTGCCTGACGTGGGCCTGAGCATTGTGGGCTTTTTCAGGTGTTTACTAAATTAGGTAATACGATGTTAATTACTTACTTACTAACGTGGAGCATACGAGGGGTTGCGTATTGAGGATCGTTGGATTAAATGGATCCAACGGTTTCCTAAGGCTGCGACGTTTGAATGTGCAACCTGCGGGGTTTATAAATAGGCATGAAGAGGGGGCTCCACATACGTGCACACTCATTATCTCCGGATCCGAATTAGTAAATCAGCGTTCGAGTGTTCGTCGAAGGAAGATCTAAAGTTTAGCATTCAGGTACGTAATGGCAGATTTAAATATTGTTCATGTCGACTCCTCCGGTGACGAAGGGGAATCAAGGCGGAGAATGTCTCCGGTCCGGGACGATGCCTCAGCTTCAGCCTCTAATGGAGATCGCACCGAGTCCTTTTCTGGATCT